AATTATTTTGCACAGCTCCAGCCTAAGGGTTTAGACCTTTGTGATGGCCATACAAATAATAGGGTTGTTTGTGGTTTCAGAATTTGTTGTGGGTGTATAGGATGGCCTGGATGAGTATGAGATTTCCCAGCCTGAAATTGTGTCCCAGTCCGGCCCTGCTCTTAGTTCAGGCCTGGTTTCAAGGGGATGATAGTGAAAGCAAGAGCTAAAGAAAGCAAGAGCACCCGCAGCTGAAGCTGTAATAAACAGATTTGGCAAACTATCTAGTGCACATTTGTGTTTGCGCTCCGGAGAGCATAACAGGTTTCCATTTACATTTTTACAGCGTTCAGCAATGTAGCCAATCACATACATACCTGTTGATTTATTGAACGCAATGACCAATCAGAGGCATTAAAGTTAGAACCCATTCAACGCTTAAAACGCTGGAGTTTTTGTCCAGTGCTCAGTTCTGCAAGCTCGAGAACCATCTTATTATAACGATGTAAATAAAAGATTAATTGTGCAGTACAGATATATATATATATATATATATATATATATATATATATATAACATTTCTGTCCCCCTCACTTCTGAAATGGTGGCTACGCCCCTGGTTGTCAGTACAATATTCCAAACACAACACACATCACAATACTTAAGGAATTGACTGATTGATATTTGTTTCACTGTTTTCAAAATCAACTCCACAAACATAACATTGTGGGTGGGACTAACAGAAATTGACGAATCATAATTTTGGTAAGCTTAATGTATGCACCTATAGGAAGAGGTAAAATTCAGAATCTGCCTGTAATTGACCATGAAAACTCACGTTTAATAATTTTTTAAAAACCAAATACAAAAAGTTATTGTGAAATAAGACGTTTATTATTATTATCGTTTAATAAATTACATCCGTTTGGTAAATTACCAAATTCTCATTGGGTGGGCCACAGTTGAAAGTGCTTGAAAGTAGCTTTGCCACTGAATGGAAAAATCCAAGCAAAAATCATTTAGTGAGGGTGTCGTGAACAATTGTGTCAAATGGGTCTACCTAGGTCTACCTACCTAATTTGTATTTGTAGCAAACAGCTCTCTGTTACAGTGTGTTAAGGAACACATTTTGCAATGTGTGTGTTACAGCCCAGAATGAGCTGGCAGGAAGAGGGGTAGGAATATGTGATGAGCTCATCACTTTAGAGGTCATGTCACCAGATGTGTGTGACCTCACACTGATCGATCTACCTGGAATTACCCGAGTCCCAGTAACAGGACAGCCAGAGGATATCGAAAAACAGGTGGGTGATGTAATCTGATCTTGTATGCCACATTCAGTACCAGACTTCTCCAGTTTTAAAACTTCATGTCTTGCCTTCATGTCTTGTAGATCAAACATCTGATCATGAAATATATTGAGAAGCAAGAGACTATAAACATGGTAGTGGTCCCTTGTAACATTGACATTGCAACAACAGAAGCATTAATCATGGCACAAAAAGTAGATCCTGAGGGCAAAAGAACTGTCGGTAATGAAGCAGAACATCTACAATGTCACCAAATATCTTTTAGCACTTCTGTCAGCAAATGCAGATTTTACAAATAAGATTTTTTCATTCTCACAGGCATTTTGACCAAGCCAGACCTCATAGACAGGGGAACAGAGACAACAATTCTGGACATTGCCCAGAACAAAACGATTCCTCTACGCAAAGGTTACATCATGGTGAAGTGTAGAGGACAACATCAGATCAATGAGAAAATTTCTCTGGAGGAGGCAGCACAAAAAGAGCGCGATTTCTTCCAGAAACACAATTTTTTCAGGTTACAATCTGAAAAGATTATTTAATCTTTTGCTCTCAAAAATGTATGTGTCCATGAGACTTGATTTGCCCTGTTTAGATCATGTTGCTTTGTTTTACAATTCCAGCCAGTTCTCTAGCATGAGTGTTTCTGGACTAAAGATTCAGAGATTTCAGTATAACTCAGCTGCACCTCCCATTGGCCATTTTTGAAATACCTGCTTATCAAGCTATGCCACCTTACAAAAAGACAAAAAGTGCCTTTTCTTTTTCAACAGATGCCTCTTGAATGAGGAGAAAGCGACTATTAAAAGTCTTGCTGTCAAATTGACTCAGCATCTCGTTGATCATATTAAAGTAAGTTTCTGAACATCAGGGATTCAGACTTATACTTTTGAAATTTAAATTTACAGTTTTGAAAGCAAAATCAGTCATAAATTCCCACTGATGCATTTCCTCTGATCTTTTTAACCCCTTGTGTTTGCAGCCTTGCTAGAACCCTACACCATGACAACTGAGTTTAATATTCTTGACTAAATGTTTATATTGTTTCACATACCTCATATGCAATGTGAAAAAGACAGAAATGGCAAAAGACATCTCATTCATTTTGAGTCTAAATCAGTGTTCATGTTATTTATTTATTTATTTTTCACTCATTTTTGTCAGAAATCCCTGCCTCAGCTCAATGAGCAGATAAAAAAGCAGTTGTGGGACCTGAGGAATGAGCTCAAAAAGTGTGAGGCTGGACCACCACAAGACCCTAAGGAGGCCAAAAAATTCCTCACTGAAGTAAGAATTGAATTATCTCAGTCCATCACATCTTATTGCTTCTCATAATTATTATTTTGGGTCCAAGAATGTCACTAGATATACTCAGTTTTGTCAGATACAGCCACAAGGTTAGAATTTACATTTCTAATTTACATTTTTGCCAATAATTGTGGAACAGCAATGATTAGAATAAATTATCGCGATGATGACGATATCCTCCAGGATCACCTAAACAAATTATTTAAATAAATTTAATCAATTTTTGTTATATTTCTATATGATTAATGTTCATTTTTGTCAGAAATCCCTGCCTCAGCTCAATGAGCAGATAAAAAAGCAGTTGTGGGACCTGAGGAATGAGCTCAAAAAGTGTGAGGCTGGACCACCACAAGACCCTAAGGAGGCCAAAAAATTCCTCACTGAAGTAAGAATTGAATTATCTCAGTCCATCACATCTTATTGCTTCTCATAATTATTATTTTGGGTCCAAGAATGTCACTAGATATACTCAGTTTTGTCAGATACAGCCACAAGGTTAGAATTTACATTTCTAATTTACATTTTTGCCAATAATTGTGGAACAGCAATGATTAGAATAAATTATCGCGATGATGACGATATCCTCCAGGATCACCTAAACAAATTATTTAAATAAATTTAATCAATTTTTGTTATATTTCTATATGATTAATGTACATACTTTTTATGTAACAAATGTTATTTTTACTCTCATAGACTTTAATAGGGTTCATTAACCAAATCAAGTCCATATCAGAAGGAGAGCTGATCATCGAAGAAAATTTATTTGTCCAGCTTCGAATGGAATTTAAGAAGTGGAATGATCAGCTTAATGAGAAAAAGCCATCTTGTCAGTATATTTTAATATTTAAGAAACATAATATAAGTTTAAATTTACTGTTGCGTTTTTCCAATGAAAAAGTCAATTGACTAAAATAAATCTGTTTTGCTCCCAAACAAGTTCATAATTTGCCTGAAGAGGAAATACAATTTTACCAGAATTACAGAGGGAGGGAACTGCTCGGCTTCAGCAACTACAAAATGTTTGAGGTGGTTCTGCAGAATCATGTGGCCACACTTAAAGAACCTGCCATTGACTTACTCAGTGCCATCAGAGGTATCTTCATGTTTAACATCTTTCTGGTTTCCAATATAAGACCAAAAGATTAGATCACATCTGAATGCCACTTGGAATGTATTTGTAGTTTTAGCACATCTGGTTTGTGAGACTATTTGCCTTTTTTAATTTATGTATTTTTCCTGAAGGCATCGTCATCCAGCAGTTTACTGTTGTAGTCAATCAGTGTTTCCAGAACTACCCTGCTCTTCTAGATATCACTAAGGTAAATATTGCTCTTGATTAGTGGTAAACAAAACTGAATGATTGTCCATTTTTAATCAAGTTTTCTCTGTACTTTTTCTTTTCTTTTTTTTTAGGACAAAATTTACAACATTCAATCAGTCCAGCAAGAAAAGGCGGAGAAAAGGATCTCGGAACAGTTTGAGATGGAACACATGCTCTTCATTCAAGATCCCATCTACTTGAAGAGCCTGACAGAGATTACCAAAGAGACATATTCAGAAGAGCAGTTACCTCTCATTGACAAAAGATGCACGTACGGTGAAATGCTGCAGGCATATTGTGAGGTATTATGAGGTTTTCTTAGTTTTCAGTAACAAATATGAAGCTCTTTTCAGAGACTGAATGGACTGCAGTGCTTAGCAGCTCTTTGATTTTCTTTCAGATTGTGGTGCAGCGGATGGCTGACCAACTGCCCATGATGATCACTCTTTTCATGCTGAAGCAAACTGCTCACCTCCTGTCTATTGACATGTTGAGTTTACTGGATGGGGCAAATGTGAGCGAGCTCCTGTTCAAGGACTCTGATGTTGGTAGAAAGCGCAGAGACCTACATGCTCGTCTGGACCGTATGAGAATTGGTCAGGAAAAAATGAGCAATTTCATCTGAGCAATCTACTGACTGGAGGATACACTGTAATTTTTTTTACATTTTTTAAAATACTTTTAGTTAAATATAACGGTCATTGTAACAGAATATCTAAACTTTCATGTAACAATTAACAAAAAAAAAGATACCTTATTGCAGAACAGGCATATCTTTGGTTGTTTCCATGTTGCAGTATGCCTTAGATAAAAACATAATGTATTTTTCTGCCTCAAATAAAATGTTTAATCATTGGTTTAATATTTATGTGGTGTGCTGAATGAAAATTATGCCAGGGCAAGTATAAGATTGTGAACACTGATGTAATGATAATGAATGCTATTCAATCACATGGTTGTAAAGGTATCTTATTTGGCTCTGTGTGGAGGATGGCTTTCTGTCTGCCTATTCGGCATTCTTGGGAACCCTATAAATTTAGATCAGAGTTAGAAAAAGGGAATGACATGAATAGTTTGCAGCATCTCAATGTATAAATGAAATCCAGCTATAATCCACCAGTAGTAGCCTAACTGTAATGAAAACACTTGAAGTGTTTAGAAATTACTTTTTCCCCTTTTTGGTATGATTCAGCACAATGTACATACAATACACTATAAAGAGGCAAAAGAAAAAGAAAACAAAGACAATTCTGTCAGCATCCCTATAAATTTAGATCAGAGTTAGAAAAAGGGAATGACATGAATAGTTTGCGGCATCTCAATGTATAAATGAAATCCAGCTATAATCCACCAGTAGTAGCCTAACTGTAATGAAAACACTTGAAGTGTTTAGAAATTACTTTTTCCCCTTTTTGGTATGATTCAGCACAATGTACATACAATACACAATAAAGAGGCAAAAGAAAACAAAGACAATTCTGTCAGCATTTGCTTACCTTCGTGTTCAAATCTGTTTAATTAAGTGTGAACAAGAGTGCTGTTATTACATTATTAGCCAATATAGGTAAATAGCTAGAAGAATAACAAAGTACAATAAACAGTAAAACTATTTGTGCTAGAATGAAAAATATAGCTGCAAGCAGCAATTAAGGGGCCAAGCACAACCGTGGCAGAATGAGGAGCAAGCATGGCAGGGAGGATCAGACCAAATGCAACAATGAAATTAAAGACATTTTAAAAATTACAAGCAACTAAAATTCAATTGAAAACTGAAAATATTAAAATAATAGTAAAAATATAGCTGAAAGCAGCAATTAAGGGGCCAAGCACAGCAGAGGCATGAATGAGGAGCAAGCATGGCAGGGATGATCAGACCAAATGGAACAATGAGTAATTAAAGACATTTTAAGGTGATTTTACTCAAACTGGCTGAAAAATCATAAATTCAGTCATTAGTAATATGATTTAATGGTTTATCAATTTTGACCAGAAGGTGGCACTGTTACCAAATTGATGCGGTATGGTCAGTGTGATGTGACAATGACACAGATGCTGTGCTCCTGTAGTCGACACCGCCATGTTTTGTTTTTGGATATAGTTCTCAAACTTCCAATCATTATGCGCTCCACACTCCTATCCAGTAGGTGGCGGGAATGCACCATTTAAGTTGGTTTGCCAACCGCCATTAAATTTAAAAGAAGAAGAAGAAGAAGAAGACACAGATGCTGTGCTCCTGTAGTCGACACCGCCATCTAGCGGTTTGGTGGCCGAATGACAGACACGCCAACGCAGAACTACAAACACAAACAGCCGCGAGGCTACGGCGTCCACCAAACGGACAACTGTCTTCTTTGTCATAGTAATTCCTTGTAAATACTACATGGACATAAGAAGGGAATCGTTCTTCTAAATGAGTAGGATATACTGCTTTATACTACTTTTTTTTGTATAATTTCAAGTCTACGTGTGTTTCTTTTCTCAATTTTGTACTTACAGGTAGTCAGGAACGAGAGCAAACTTATTCGCATGCAAGCTGACAAACTAGATTGTGCTTTAGCCGGAATCCTAACAAACGAGTTAACCAAGTTGGACAGAATATGGTTTAAATACAATGCACTACCTTTGCACTGTCATTAGTCAGCCTAACTCTACAGTCTAAAGTCTAGAGCAATTTCAATCAATTAGATCAGCAAGGACAATGCTGAACATTTTTTTAAAGACATAAATTGATCCAATGATAGATTACTAATGTGATGTGTTGAATAACCTGTATTTCTTCACCTTCACGTAAAGTGGACGTACAGCTGCCGTGAGGAGAGCGGAGCATAACAATTCAGTCATGATATACATGCGAAGAGGTCTGTTTTCCTTCTCTTCGTTATCTATTTCTGTCTCTTATGTCTATGCTGACATTTTTATTTCTAGTTGGTCCCCTTGTGCTACACAAGAGACAGAGAGACAAAAGTAAGTTATGTTTTTGAAGACATGCTAGATGTCTCATTCATTCAGAAGCGCAGTGCATTGTTTACTTTCCTGGTTACATTGTCTTGTATCACAATGCAGTTCTATTCAAACTGGAAAGTGACTCTGAATGCAAATGTCTCCTTTGCATAGTTGACAGAAAAATAATGTATTCTCAGCTTTCAAAGTTCTGATGCCACAGCCCTCCTAAATAGACTTTATATCATTTTCTTCTATGAGTGTTCCTGTCTGCTTAAACTGGTCAAACTGGTTTTGTCACATGGTAGCTTCTGTTTTGTTACTGCTCCAAGGTGGTCTAAAAGATCTAACCAGCTTAATCGACCAGGTCGACCAGGTTGATCTCAGGCCTGACTATAAATGACCAACATGGTCCGAAACCAAGAAAAATGGTGATATGTCTTTAAACATAATTGTCTTATATTTACTGAACTCACCCTATTAGGAGCAAGATAATATGTGGACATTAAATCTACAATCAAAGATGAATATTACTGTATAATGAGAATTAGGGTAAACTTACCTATTAAGCTCACGTACCCATTAAGCACACTTCCATATTTGAGCTCAGATTATAAAAAGAAAAAATAATGTATTATCATACTTGATGTCTTAACAAATTGATGTGTTTGTTACTACATACCTCTTGTAATTTCAAGTCAATCAGATCATTGCACACCGAGATATGTGTCTCCATGTGTTCACACTGTCTGGTGGCCATTTTGAAAGCTGTCTGAAAACTTTCACCAAAAGAGTAGCTCCTTAAATGTGCATTTTTTTATGTTTAAGATTTTATTTTGGGTAAATTTCACTAATTTCTGCAAAATTAAGAGATTAATGTTTATACTTTTGCATATTATAACCTGGAACTTGGATGTGGGCAATAATTACAGTTAGATCCAAAAGATAGTTTTAGCAACACAGCGCAGATGCTACAGGACACAGTTAGCTGACTAGCTGTATTAGATTGTGTGCTACGCTAATATATTACTTCACAGGCAT